TTTGCAACAAACAACTTTAATCTGCTCAATTTATGCTCACGCACACACATAAACAACAACAGGAGTACGCCTCGCGTTTTGAAAAGTTCCACTCGATATTCCGTTATAGTTCAGTACTGAAACAACAGCAAACAGCTGTAGGCCTACAGTACAATATTCTGTGAATGTAGGCCTACAGTAACAGATATATTAACAGATATATTATATTCTGTGAATGTAGGCCTACAGTAACAGATATATTAACAGATATATTATATTCTGTGAATGTAGGCCTACATTAACAGATATATTAACAGATATATATATTCTGTGAATGTAGGCCTACAGTAACAGATTAATGTATGTATTTCCAAACAGGTTGTTGGTCTAAAGTTGTCATTTTTATTTTTCTGCACTTTTGTGTGTGCAAGTTCTAGCGCTAACCATTAGTAGGCCTACAGTGTGCCTGCCAGCAGACAATAATAAATAATATTCTTTTTTTATGAATCAATTTGCCTCTTGCATTAAAAATACGTGTTGAAATCGGCCTACAGTGTATTTCAACATCTAACTAAGCATTACTAGTCTTAAATAGGAAGATTAAATATGGAAGATTGAATGTAAATGTGCAAAAACAGAGTTGTAAATGGACAGTATTGACATAAGTTAATGTGCATGAGTGTAGACATGTTATAAGCAGAAACTATTCAATATAACGGCGAGTAGACAGACAAATGAAGTGAACATGAGTGCAGGGATAATTTGTAAATTTAACAAAATTGAACAACCTTAATACAAACGTGTACAAATGTAAACATTGTAGCCTGTTTTCAATTTGCGGAGTTAATATGACATTAATGATAACAACTTTGGCATCCATATGTGCACTTTTGTCTCTTATCAAGTTCACTCACATTTAATTAGCCTATAACCTCTATTAGCCTAACCTATAGTCTGTAACCTATAGCCTGTAACCTCAGGTGCAATAAGAGATAATAAGTGCAATAAGAAAACTTATTTATATTTTCATTTCATTGTACAGTGTTCCCCTTGTTATTTTATTTTGTATTATATCTTTGCTTTAATACAGTGTATAACTTCTGTAGTTTATTTTAAATCACTTAGCTGTTACTACAACTTTTTTACTTTTACATTTTTTATACTTTTCTACTCTTTTTTTTCTTCTTACAATGCTAATCTATCTTATATATAATTTTAACTTTTTTTTGCAGAAGCTGACTCAGGGAGAAACGCACAAGAATTCCAACATACCTGTACTGTCCTGTACCTGTGCAAATGGCACTAAACATCTATTCTATTCTATTCTATAAGCCTCCATGAAAATCCAGAGTAATAATAAATGTAAATAGAAATACACTAACTCAATTAAACCACTTTACGTGGTAGGCCTAATCAAAATGATAATAACACAGCAATACTTAGCCTATTACTGTTTGTAAAAGAAGATAAGATAAGATAAAACTTATTTGATCCCCCATTATGGGGACATTTTTTTGTTACAACAAAATGTTGATTCAAAAAACAGGAATAATAATAATAATTTATTTGCAGATACTGGTCTCAATCCGGCCTAACATATTTCAATAAAGTAATAGTTTTTAATCCAGTATTTACTCAACCAAGGCTATCAATTGATATTTTGGTTTCTAACTGAGATATTCTAAGTGTCTTCAATATCCTTGCGCATAAATAATTATCCTAATTGGGTTAATCCAACTTGGGAAATAAAAAGACAAAAAGGAAAAAGCAGCATATTGTAAATTATGAATAATTTCTACATGAATAATTGTATTTTTTTACTGGATTAGCTCTTATGTTTTTTGGTATATGATGTTTGACACTCCCTCCAGCATTCATCTTGTAGTGCCATAGTTCTACTTTCAATTTTAGGGAGAAAAAAGTGGTTGGGGGGCATATCCCCTTCAAACTTCATAAGGACCCATCTGCTTTTGTCTGCAAACATAATGGATAACATTGGAGGTTTAAACTTCTCAACCACAGTTTTAAATGTAATACAACTTTCTGCGTATGATGTGATAAGGTACAAATATTCAATAACAAGATTAATGAAAATTCTAGTACCAGTGTTGAATCTATACATGGAGTTGGTCGCTCCTTCTGCTGTCATTCCCCCAAAGATATAGATGTTCTTTCCCAAAGCCACAGCTGAGTGGGCTGCTACTCCTGGTGGGATATCTCCTTTGACTTGCACCTTCTCCCACTTCATGATCTCTTTGAACAGTAGACACTTTGTTTTATTTTTTTAATCAAACAAACATGACATTCCCAAGTTTTGAGGCTCTTTATTTTAATCTTGTATTATCATTTAGAAAACTTTGAAAATAGATTTTATTTTTTTAAATCACACACAAAACGTATTACACTTCAGGAGTGATCAGTCTTACTTGTATCGAGAGAGAACACGTCATTGTGGAATTTGTCCCCGGCCATGCCCCCATGGATGTAGATCTTTGAACCTGCTGCTACGATAACATGGCCATGTTTGTCTGGCGGCTGTCTGCCTTGTGTTTCCGGTTGGGACCAGGCGGAAGAGGCTGGGGGGTAATTAAGATAAAAGTGATCTCATATTCCCGTATTGCTGTCTACGTCATGAAACAGACTGAAATGAAAACGATGTCCTTATATGACCTACAAAAGAAAACAACTCTGATTGTTTCTATACTTGGTCTTTTGAACGCCTGTAACTATTGCAGCGGGGTAGGTGTACCAGGTGATTTACAGCTCGCTGCAAAGGAATTTCCATGGAAAATATTCACAATCAGTGATACGTTTGACTGTTTGAAGAAAGTAGCATGAGATTTTTTGTTAAAAACAATTTTATACATGTACAGGAAAAAATCAGCAGTGAAATAAGATGTACTGTTTTGTCCACAGAGAGCGCCAAAATTGACATAAACCGAAATTACTAACAGGATCTTTCACAAACAAATAAAAAAAAAGAAAAATTGAGAATTGAAATAGAAACCAAACATCAAGTTAAATGGAAAGACGCTGTATGTCCAGCATTATTATAAACAAAAATTACATTAATAGAGTTATTTATATACCTGAAAGATTACAAACATGTCTGAAGGAGGGCAGAGAGACTTTAGTTTTTCACTACATCAGATAATTCCAAAGTAACATACACAGTATATTAGCACCTCTTCTTCATGTGAATTGGAATTAGTCAGGGAAACCATCTGAAAATAAGAGAGTACTGGATTCATTTGAATTGGGATTTACCTGTTAGCTGTACATTCTGGATACAATTGCGGTTGCCGCTCTGCTGTGCCCCTCCAAACACCCACAGGCTCTGAGGACAGCTTTCTGGGACAAAGCAGCAGTGTTCATACCGCGAGTCCAAACCCTCCCACTCTGGGATGTCCCACTCATGATTATCTGGGGGAGTCAGAGAGAGGAAAAATACCCCAAAAAATGTCTAACAATATAGAAGACATGGAAACACAGATGACACTTCAAAGTAAACAACAATGATAAACACCTTTTAGCAATATGGTTTTTCACAATCAAAGTCAGTCAACATTTTTGAAATTGCTTGTAACTGCAGACATAATATCTCTGCACAGTCTCTTTCAATTACCTAGATCAGTGGTTCTCAAACTATGGTATGGGCTCCCTGTGGTGGTACGCAAAGAAATCTCCACAATATAAAAAACAAACCCGATCAGCATAAAACCACAATTTTTGTATCTTGTATCTATTGGGTTGTATTTATATCAAATGTGTTTTCCCCTCTAAATTAATCTAGTTTTTGCAACAAACAACTTTAATCTGCTCAATTTATGCTCACGCACACACATAAACAACAACAGGAGTACGCCTCGCGTTTTGAAAAGTTCCACTCGATATTCCGTTATAGTTCAGTACTGAAACAACAGCAAACAGCTGTAGGCCTACATTCACAGATATTCTGTGAATGTAGGCCTACAGTAACAGATATATTAACAGATATATTATATTCTGTGAATGTAGGCCTATATTAACAGATATATTAACAGATATATTATATTTTGTGAATGTAGGCCTACAGTAACAGATATATTAACAGATATATTATATTTTGTGAATGTAGGCCTACAGTAACAGATATATTAACAGATATATTATATTCTGTGAATGTAGGCCTACATTAACAGATATATTAACAGATATATTATATTTTGTGAATGTAGGCCTACAGTAACAGATTAATGTATGTATTTCCAAACAGGTTGTTGGTCTAAAGTTGTCATTTTTATTTTTCTGCACTTTTGTGTGTGCAAGTTCTAGCGCTAACCGTTAGTAGGCCTACAGTGTGCCTGCCAGCAGACAATAATAAATAATATTCTTTTTTTATGAATTAATTTGCCTCTTGCATTAAAAATACGTGTTGAAATCGGCCTACAGTGTATTTCAACGTCTAACTAAGCATTACTAGTCTTAAATAGGAAGATTAAATATGGAAGATTGAATGTAAATGTGCAAAAACAGAGTCGTAAATGGTTGTAAATTAAATATGAAAGATTAAATGTAAATGTGCAAAACAGAGTTGTAAATGGACAGTATTGACATAAGTTAAAGTGCATGAGTGTAGACATATTATAAGCAGAAACTATTCAATATAACGGCGAGTAGACAGACAAATGAAGTGAACATGAGTGCAGGGATAATTTGTAAATTTAACAAAATTGAACAACCTTAATACAAACGTGTACAAATGTAAACATTGTAGCCTGTTTTCAATTTGCGGAGTTAATATGACATTAATGATAACAACTTTGGCATCCATATGTGCACTTTTGTCTCTTATCAAGTTCACTCACATTTAATTAGCCTATAACCTCTATTAGCCTAACCTATAGTCTGTAACCTATAGCCTGTAACCTCAGGTGCAATAAGAGATAATAAGTGCAATAAGAAAACTTCCAGACAATCTAACTCATCTGATGTAACCTCAGGTGCAATAAGAGATAATAAGTGCAATAAGAAAACTTCCAGACAATCTAACTCATCTGATGTAACAGCCTTCACTTTAAGGTCACTGATTAGTCACATGCATATTACACAGGGTTTGTACAATTCTCAAACATTGTATTGAGTCATCATTAGGCTACTACTTATGATGTCATGATTGTAACACAGCAAACCACTTTAAGTCTACTTCCAGTATCGGTGACATTGCCAAGACGCGGGAGTGCCAGCATGTCGCGGGGCTTTCCAACGAGCAGCCGCTCAGCCAATCGCGAGCCTCTCCGATTGGGGAAGAAGTGACGGCTTATATATGGAAGAGAGCGCGGTTCATTCAACATCACTTCACAGACAGGGAAAAAACACTAAGAGACAGAAGAAGACGGACACGCTTTGGCGTTGAGAGGCTGGTCCTATCCGAGACGACGTGAAGGCCGTTAATTAATTGACGACATTGTTATTCAGGTACGTGGAAACATTTCTTTGAATACGATAATGTGACGACGTTGTATTTTTTCATGTTGTGAAACAATTTTCATTCTGACCAAGCAAGCTAAGGTAATAATAATAATAATAATAATAATAATAATAACTTTATTTATATAGCACCTTTTAAAAACACAGGTTTACAAAGTGCTTTGACAAACAGCAAGAACAAAGCAAACTAAACCAAACACAGAAAAACATTAACAACAGTAAGAATATAACAGATGCAAAATACCAAAAATAATTAAATACAATTCAACAGAAAAGAACCCAAAGTGCACGATACACACCCAGACATATATAACCCAACCATCATAAGAACCATCATAAGAACCATCATAAGAACCCAGGAACACAAGAACCCAACAACACGAGCTGAGACCAAGAGGACCAAAGATTTAAAAAGATGTAAGAAACTAAGAGATAAAAGCAAATAAAAAGCAATGAGAAGTTAAGCGTAGTAAAAGAAATAAAAACAAGTGGTTAAAGGATCAAAAAACCCAAAACTATAATATTAATAAAAATAAAAATTAACTATAAATACAAAACATAAATAGACAAAGTAAGTAAGATAAGAAATTACCAAGTTAAAACACAAGAGGAGATTAAGATATGAGCATAAATACGAGATAAGACCATAAATAAAAGACAGTAAGAAGTAGAAGAAGATAAAAATAGTAAAACCAGTAAGAGAAGACATTAAGAAGACGACATCACATAAAAGCAAGTCTGTAAAAGTATGTTTTAAGAAGGGATTTAAAAGAATTGAGGGAATCTGCAAGTCTTATCTCCTCAGGGAGGTCGTTCCAAAGTCAGGGGCCCTGACTGAAAAGGCCCGGTCACCTTTAGTTTTAAGTCTGGACTTTGGAACGACCAGGAGGGCCCCACCCGAGGATCTAAGACTGCGGGCTGGTGTCAGTAACTCTGTTATATAGCTTGGAGCCAGCCCCGTCCGTGCTTTAAAAGTAATGAGTAAAATCTTAAAATCGATTCTAAAACGTACAGGAAGCCAGTGTAATGAAGCTAAAATTGGAGTGATGTGATGTCGTCTGTTACAACCAGTAAGAAGCCTAGCTGCTGCATTTTGGACCAGCTGGAGGCGAGACAGTGACTTATTTGTGATTCCGGAAAAGAGGGAGTTACAGTAGTCAAGTCGGGAGAAGATGAGGGCGTGGATGATCTTTTCAAGGTCTCGTTGGGTTAGGATTGTTTTAATTTTGGAGATGGTGCGTAGATGGAAGAAGCTTGATCGGACAACTGTTTTGATATGGGATTCAAAGGTGAGATTGCAATCGAATGTTATTCCTAGATTTCTGGCGGTGGGTTGGACATTGGTGAATAAGGGACCGAGGCTGCTCTTTGAGATATGAGTGGTGTTTGGCGGGTTGAATACTATGATTTCAGATTTAGAATTGTTCAGTTGGAGAAAGTTTTGCGCCATCCAGCATTTGATATCGTTTAGGCAGTTTCTGACAGCAGCTAGGCTCCTAGGGTCCTCAGGTCTCAAAGGAAGGTATATCTGTGTGTCGTCTGCGTAGCAGTGAAAGGAGACATTGTGGCGTTCAATTATTTGGCCAAGAGGCAGCATATAAATGGAGAATAACGATAGTGACGATAGTGATATATAGTAGTGACGATAGTGATATATTTTACCAAACTTACTTTTTTTTTTTTTAATGCATATAGTTAAACAATGTGATAATAATGACAAAGTAGCTGGCCCTTGTGATTAGATATGTTACCTTGCATGTCTGCTAAGCACGCCAACGTGGTTAAGCTAGGTACCGGCGGATGGGGAGGGGGGAAGGGGGGGGGGAAGTAAAAAAAAACACGCTTCTCTCACACAATGACTCCAAATCCCAGAAAATGACACTCCATCATTGTTTGACACTAGCTTTGTGAAATGGTAGACAGCTAAGGTAAAGCCACATTGTTCTAATGATTTGTTTCTTTCTGTAGATTTTTTTTTTCACATACTGGAGTATAAACAAGCCAAGATGAAGCTGCTGTGGGTTGTAATGTTGGTGGCCGGCACTGTGTTCGCCGACGACGACGACAAGAAGGACAGCGTGGGGACTGTGGTTGGAATCGACCTCGGGACCACCTACTCATGGTAAATAGAGACAAAGTGACAGCTGTCTTGATTGTTTTACACGCAACTTTTAAATGTGGATAACACTAATCATTTCTTAATTGTTTTTTTTTTTTTTCCTTTTTAGTGTCGGAGTGTTCAAGAATGGGCGTGTGGAGATCATCGCCAATGACCAGGGTAACCGCATCACTCCATCGTACGTGGCCTTCACCAGCGAGGGTGAGCGTCTGATTGGCGACGCTGCCAAGAACCAGCTGACGTCTAACCCTGAGAACACCGTCTTCGATGCCAAGAGGTTGATTGGGCACACTTGGGGAGACTCGACTTTGCAGCAGGACATCAAGTACCTGCCGTTCAAAGTAAGTTTCCGCACTTCTTGACGTTACTATTAAGAGTCTTAAGGTCCTTTTTTGGTATCGTTTGAGCTTCATTCTCTGTTTGTAACATTGATTCATGTTCCTTTTTAGGTAACTGAGAAGAAGAGCAAGCCCCATATTCAGGTAGACATTGGTGGTGGCACGATGAAGACATTTGCTCCTGAGGAGATCTCTGCCATGGTGCTGACTAAAATGAAGGAGACTGCTGAGGCTTATTTGGGCAAGAAGGTACAAACACATGAAAAAAATACATTTAAAATATGTACCTCATCAAAATGATGTTCAATCAAAGCTAATGAGTTTATCCTTTTTGTCAGGTTACACATGCTGTGGTCACTGTCTCTGCCTATTTCAATGACGCCCAGCGTCAGGCCACTAAGGATGCTGCAACCATCGCTGGTCTGAAGGTCATGAGAATCATCAATGAGCCGTAAGTTTTGAATGAAAATGATGTTTGTTGTTGTGTTTGTAAAATATTTCCCTTCATTTTTGTATTAACGTATCTTCCTTTTTTTTTTTTTTAGAACTGCTGCCGCCATTGCTTACGGTCTTGACAAGAGAGACGGCGAGAAGAAAATTCTCGTTTTTGATCTTGGCGGTGGCACCTTCGACGTCTCCCTGCTGACCATCGACAACGGTATGTCTGAGGTGATGGCAACCAGTGGTGACACTCATCTTGGAGGTGAGGACTTCGACCAGCGCGTCATGGAGCACTTCATCAAGCTGTACAAGAAGAAGACCGGCAAAGATGTGCACAAAGACAACAGGGCAGTGCAGAAGCTGCGTCGTGAGGTCGAGAAGGCAAAGAGGGCGCTGTCCGCTCAGCACCAGGCCTGCATTGAGATCGAGTCCTTCTTTGAGGGAGAGGACTTCTCTGAGACCCTGACCCGTGCCAAGTTTGAAGAGCTCAACATGGTAAATAATTGAACCAACATTTTGGTTATAGAAAAACTGTAACTCTAGTATAATGTTACCCTCTTGTTTATGAAACATGATTTACTAACAGTTGAACCTTTTTTCTTTCTACAGGACCTGTTCCGTTCCACCATGAAGCCTGTGCAGAAAGTACTGGAAGACTCTGACCTGAAGAAGCCTGACATTGATGAGATTGTCTTGGTTGGAGGCTCCACCCGTATCCCCAAAATCCAGCAGCTGGTGAAGGAGTTCTTCAATGGCAAAGAGCCCTGCAGAGGCATCAACCCTGATGAGGCCGTGGCATACGGAGCTGCTGTGCAGGCTGGAGTGCTTTCTGGAGAGGAGGACACTGGTAGGTTATCATCGTCTCACATCATTTAATTTAATTCTAATTCGCTGAACTAGCTTTTATATTGTGTACTAATAATGTTCCTATCTTACAGAACATGTTGTTCTTCTGGATGTGTGCCCCATGACTCTTGGTACTGAGACTGATGGAGGAGTGATGACTAAACTGATCCCCAGGAACACTGTGGTGCCTTCAAAGGAATCCCAGATCTTCTCTACAGCTTCTGATAACCAGCCCACTGTCACCATTAAGGTTTATGAAGGTAAGAATTGTGCATACCCAACATGAAGAAAAAAAAGTTTAAAAATAACTGTTTTTTTTTTTTTGGTATGCAGAAAAAAAAATGGAATTTTGCAAAAGTTTATTCATTGATTCTGTCTCTAGGTGAGCATCCTCTCACAAAAGACAACCATCTGCTGGGCACATTCGACCTGACTGGCATCCCTCCCGCCCCTCGTGGTGTGCCAAAGATTGAGGTCACCTTCAAGTTCGATGTCAACGGTATCCTGCATGTCACAGCCGAGGACAAAGGTACAGGCAACAAGAACAAGATCACCATCACAAACGACCAGAACGGCCTGACGCCAGAGGACATCGAGCGCATGGTGAATGATGCAAAGCGCTTCGCCGATGACGACAAGAAGCTGAAGGAGAGGATCGACGCCCGCAATGAGCTGGAGAGCTACGCTTACTCTCTGAAGAACCAGATCGGAGACAAGGAAAAGCTCGGCGGCAAGCTGTCGGATGAGGACAAAGAAATCATTGAGAAAGCAGTAGAGGAGAAGATTGAGTGGATGGAGTCACACCAGGAGGCTGAGCTGGAAGACTTCCAGGCTAAGAAGAAGGAGCTTGAGGAAGTGGTACAACCAATTATCAGCAAGCTTTACGGCAGTGCAGGAGGACCACCACCAGAGGGCGCAGAAGCCGAGCAAGACGAGAAGGATGAGTTGTAGGCAAGTTTGCCATCAACTGTTTTGTTGCCCCTTGCCTCTCTGTTAGTGGCACTTAGATGTACATAATGAACTGATGAGACTCAAATCGTGAGAGGAACGGTTGGGAAGGGGTGGCCATAACAAGCAACCCTACTAAATCCTCTGAAAGACTTTAAAAAAAAAAACAAGTTTCAGTGTGTGAGAGGTGTTCTCTTCGCTGGAAGGCGGAGATATTCGTCAGCCTGGATATGAGGCTTGCTGCTGCTGTTCTCAGGCAGTCCTGTTGGGGTGATGTTGTGGGGAGGGACTTAGTGGGTGGGTTGGGGCAGGTGTTAGGGGGCAAGAGCTCCAAACTTGGAAACCCGCCATTTCAGTATTCATAGAATTAAAAAATGTATCTTGGGTTTGTTGATTTAATCAAGACAGAAGAGTTCTTAAAAACAATTTATTTAAACTTTAGTGAGTATTACATCATCATGAAACCACAGTCACAACACAGTCATTATGAATGACACCCTGGGTATCCATCCCTCCAAATACAAAGGCCAAATGTATTGTCTCTGAGGCTGTTGGGCAGTCGGCCTGCTCCTTATCTCCATTCCCCTCAGCATGCACCGTCCAGGGCAATAAACACATGGAGTGGTCCAGGCGGTTGGGGGGCATATCCCCTTCAAACTTCATAAGGACCCATCTGCTTTTGTCTGCAAACATAATGGATAACATTGGAGGTTTAAACTTCTCAACCACAGTTTTACGACAATTAAAGACAATTTACAACGATTAAAGTGTGGCCAGCGGGGACAGACTCTGTACTTCAGGACAAGTTCCATCACACAGACTGGAGTATGTTTGCTTCTCAGGCTACCTTGGGCTCTCACACAGACATTGACACCTACACTTCTTCTGTGCTGGATTATATCAACACCACCATCGACAGTGTTACAACATGGAAGCAGATCACCACGTACCCAAATCAGAAGCCATGGATGAACAAGGAGGTGCGTCTCCTGCTGAAGGCCCGCAACACCGCCTTCAGATCAGATGATGCAATGGCCTACAGCGTATCCAGGGCAAACCTGAGGAGGGGTATCATCAAGGCCAAGCACTGCTACAAGCTGTGCCTGCTACAAGAAGGTTGAGGAACACTTCTCCAACTCCGACCCCAGACGCATGTGGCAGGGCATCCAGGCCATCAGTGACTATAAACCCAGAAACTCCACCCCGATAACCACAGATGTCTCCTTCCTGAACGAGCTAAATCACTTTCATGCTCGTTTCGATAGAGACAACAGAGAGACGCAGACCACGACCAGACCTCCTGCAGACAACCAGCCCCTCTCACTCACCTCCACAGACGTCCACGCTGCACTGAGCCGGATCAACGCTCGAAAGGCTGCTGGTCCAGACGGCACCCCCGGGCGCGTGCTTAGAGCATGTGCGGAGCAGCTCACTGGGGTTTTTACGGACATCTTCAACCTGTCCCTCGCCCAAGCAGCTGTGCCAGCATGCTTCAAAGCCACCTCCATTGTCCCAGTGCCGAAACACTCCAGCCCGACAGGCCTGAACGACTACCGCCCTGTAGCACTCACACCCATCATAATGAAGTGCTTTGAGCGACTGGTCCTAGCACACCTGAAAAACTGCCTCCCACCCACACTGGACCCATTCCAGTTTGCCTACCGCAGCAACAGGAGTACAGAGGATGCAGTCTCCACTGCGCTGCACTCTGTGCTCACTCATCTGGACAATAACAACACATACGCACGAATGCTGTTTGTTGATTTTAGCTCAGCATTCAACTCTGTCATCCCCTCCAAGTTAAACACTAAACTCGGAGACCTGGGCTTCAACACCTCCCTCCGTCACTGGATAATGGACTTTCTGACCAACAGACCCCAGTATGTTAGGTCAGGACACACCTGCTCCACCACCATCACACTCAACACAGGCGTACCACAGGGCTGTGTGCTGAGCCCATTCCTCTACTCCCTCTTCACTCACGACTGCAGACCTGTACATGGATCCAACACCATCATCAAGTTTGCGGACGATACAGCGGTGATTGGCCTCATCAGCAACAACGATGACACGGCCTACAGGGAGGAGGTACAGCATCTGGCCGCCTGGTGTGCTGACAACAACCTGCTCCTCAACACCAGCAAGACGAAGGAGATCATCGTAGACTTCAGGAGAGAAAGAGGAAGCACGCACAACCCCATTCACATCAACGGGATGGCTGTTGAACGTGTCTCCAGCTTCAAGTTCCTGGGGACCCACATCACAGAGGACCTCTCCTGGTCCACTAACACCTCCAGTCTGGTTAAGAAGGCTCATCAACGCCTCTTTTTCCTGAGGACACTGAAGAGACACCACCTGTCTTCAGCTGTACTGATGAACTTCTACCGCTGTGTGATCGAGAGCATCCTGACCAGCAGTGTCTCAGTCTGGTACGGAAACTGCTCTGTCGCAGACCGTAAGGCGCTACAGCGGGTGGTAAAAACCGCCCAGCGCATCACAAGGTGTCCACTTCCTGCCATTGAGGATGTCCAAAGAACACGCTGTCTGCGGCGAGCTCATGGCATCCTTAAAGACTCCTCCCACCCTGCCCACAGACTGTTTACCCTCCTGCCCTCCGGCAGGCGCTTCAGAAGCCTCCGGACCAGAACCAGCAGACTGAGGAACAGCTTTTTCCCCAGAGCTGTTTCTCTACTGAACTCTACCCCCCGAACTCTGAACTCTGTCTCTCTCTCTCCCCCCCCCCTTTCCCCTGCATATCACCTCACACCCATCATCCCCCCACCACTCCTCCTGGTCACACACACACATCTCTCAACCTGTATTATTGTATTATAGTATGTTCATATTATGTCCATATTCTTTATATTATCTGTAAACTAGTATAGCATGCTCACTGCATCTTAATCTGTATATTATTAGTATAGCATGCTCACTGCACCTTAATCTGTATATTATAATCCTAAGAATACACTTATTTTGTAGCATCACTTATTTATAGCATTTATTTATATTTATTGCATCCCATTAATCCAGCCATCCAGAAATACCTAATAATTCACTTTTTTGTCTACATCTGTAAATTTTGTAATTACTGTACATAGCACAGACTCTTGCACTTTCTGCTTATTTGCACTTCTGGTGAGATGCCAAACCTCATTTCGTTACTCTATACTTGTATATGTGTAATGACAATAAAGTTGAATCTCATCTCATCTCATCTCTCATCTTTTAAATGTAATACAACTTTCTGCGTATGATGTGATAAGGTACAAATATTCAATGACAAGATTAATGAAAATTCTATTACCAGTGTTGAATCTATACATGGAGTTGGTCGCTCCTTCTGCTGTCATTCCCCCAAAGATATAGATGTTCTTTCCCAAAGCCACAGCTGAGTGGGCTGCTACTCCTGGTGGGATATTTCCTTTGACTTGCACCTTCTCCCACTTCATGATCTCTTTGAACAGTAGACACTTTGTTTTATTTTTTTAATCAAACAAACATGACATTCCCAAGTTTTGAGGCTCTTTATTTTAATCTTGTATTATCATTTAGAAAACTTTGAAAATAGATTTTATTTTTTTAAATCACACACAAAACGTATTACACTTCAGGAGTGATCAGTCTTACTTGTATCGAGAGAGACCACGTCATTGTGGAATTTGTCCCCGGCCATGCCCCCATGGATGTAGATCTTTGAACCTGCTGCTACGATAACATGGCCATGTTTGTCTGGCGGCTGTCTGCCTTGTGTTTCCGGTTGGGACCAGGCGGAAGAGGCTGGGGGGTAATTAAGATAAAAGTGATCTCATATTCCCGTATTGCTGTCTACGTCATGAAACAGACTGAAATGAAAACGGATGTCCTTATATGACCTACAAAAGCAAACAACTCTGATTGTTTCTATACTTGGTCTTTTGAACGCCTGTAACTATTGCAGCGGGGTAGGTGTACCAGGTGATTTACAGCTCGCTGCAAAGGAATTTCCATGGAAAATATTCACAATCAGTGATAGGTTTGACTGTTTGAAGAAAGTAGCATGAGATTTTTTGTTAAAAACAATTTTTATACATTATACAGGAAAAAATGAGCAGTGAAATAAGATGTACTGTTTTGTCCACAGAGAGCGCCAAAATTGACATAAACCGAAATTACTAACAGGATCTTTCACAAACAAATAAAAAAAAAGAAAAATTGAGAATTGAAATAGAAACCAAACATCAAGTTAAATGGAAAGACGCTGTATGTCCAGCATTATTCAACAAAAAAAAAAAATGACGCCTGATTGTGTGGCAGAATTGTGTCAGAGTTCCTTGTAACACAATATACCAAGAAGAAATAATGACTGGGAGTTGGAAACGCAAGAATATACAACATGTTCATAAGCTTTGCATGTGATACAAAGTTTCACCAGTGCTTTCCAACAGGTGAAACATTTCTATCATTGTGGAATCAGTGGCTAATACCACTGTAAAGCTCTGTATGATACACCTACTGTATGTTGAGCAGCTGGTTAATTAAACACAAACCTGTATCAAAGACGTGAAGTGTGGGGTCTGCGACAGGTGCAGCTCCTGCTTCCCCACCCGAAAAGACGTACAGTCTGTCCCCGAGGCAGGCGGAGCTGGTGTGGTATGTTCTCGGGCTGGGGGGTTTACCATTCACAGATACACTCTTCCAGGAAGACCCACTGTCTGGTCACACAGGAATAATTGCTCATGTACAATAATATTAGTCTGTCTGTTCAGAAATGGGAACATCACTGGTTAAAAAAGAATTAAAAACAAAAATTACATTAATAGAGTTATTTATATACCTGAAAGATTACAAACATGTCTGAAGGAGGGCAGAGAGACTTTAGTTTTTCACTACATCAGATAATTCCAAAGTAACATACACAGTATATTAGCACCTCTTCTTCATGTGAATTGGAATTAGTCAGGGAAACCATCTGAAAATAAGAGAGTACTGGATTCATTTGAATTGGGATTTACCTGTTAGCTGTACATTCTGGATACAGTTGCGGTTGCCGCTCTGCTGTGCCCCTCCAAACACCCACAGGCTCTGAGGACAGCTTTCTGGGACAAAGCAGCAGTGTTCATACCGCGAGTCCAAACCCTCCCACTCTGGGATGTCCCACTCATGATTATCTGGGGGAGTCAGAGAGAGGAAAAATACCCCAAAAAATGTCTAACAATATAGAAGACATGGGAACACAGATGACACTTCAAAGTAAACAACAATGATAAACACCTTTTAGCAATATGGTTTTTCACAATCAAAGTCAGTCAAAATTTTTGAAATTGCTTGTAACTGCAGACATAATATCTCTGCACAGTCTCTTTCAATTACCTAGATCAGTGGTTCTCAAACTATGGTATGGGCTCCCTGTGGTGGTACGCAAAGAAATCTCCACAATATAAAAAACAAACCCGATCAGCATAAAACCACAATTTTTGTATCTTGTATCTATTGGGTTGTATTTATATCAAATGTGTTTTCCCCTCTAAATTAATCTAGTTTTTGCAACAAACAACTTTAATCTGCTCAATTTATGCTCACGCACACACATAAACAACAACAGGAGTACGCCTCGCGTTTTGAAAAGTTCCACTCGATATTCCGTTATAGTTCAGTACTGAAACAACAGCAAACAGCTGTAGGCCTACATTCACAGATATTCTGTGAATGTAGGCCTACAGATATATGAACAGATATTCTGTGAATGTAGGCCTACATTAACAGATATATTAACATATATTATATTCTGTGAATGTAGGCCTACATTAACAGATATATGAACAGATATATTATATTCTGTGAATGTAGGCCTACATTAACAGATATATGAACAGATATATTATATTTTGTGAATGTAGGCCTACATTAACAGATATATTAACAGATATATTATATTCTGTGAATGTAGGCCTACAGTAACAGATATATGAACAGATATATTATATTCCGTGAATGTAGGCCTACAGTAACAGATATATGAACAGATATATTATATTCTGTGAATGTAGGCCTACATTAACAGATATATGAACAGATATATTATATTTTGTGAATGTAGGCCTACAGTAACAGATATATTGACAGATATATTATATTCTGTTAATGTAGGCCTACAGTAACAGATATATTAACAGATATATTATATTCTGTGAATGTAGGCCTAATTAACAGATATATTAACAGATATATTATATTTTGTGAATGTAGGCCTACAGTAACAGATATATTAACAGATATATTATATTTTGTGAATGTAGGCCTACATTAACAGATATATTAACAGATATATTATATTCTGTTAATGTAGGCCTACATTCACAGATATATTAACAGATATATTATATTCTGTGAATGTAGGCCTACATTAACAGATATATTAACAGATATATTATATTCTGTGAATGTAGGCCTACAGTAACAGATTAATGTATGTATTTCCAAACAGGTTGTTGGTCTAAAGTTGTCATCTTTATTTTTCTGCACTTTTGTGTGTGCAAGTTCTAGCGCTAACCATTAGTAGGCCTACAGTGTGCCTGCCAGCAGACAATAATAAATAATATTCTTTTTTTATGAATTAATTTGCCTCTTGCATTAAAAATACGTGTTGAAATCGGCCTACAGTGTATTTCAACGTCTAACTAAGCATTACTAGTCTTAAATAGGAAGATTAAATATGGAAGATTGAATGTAAATGTGCAAAAACAGAGTCGTAAATGGACAGTATTGACATAAGTTAAAGTGCATGAGTGTAGATATATTATAAGCAGAAACTATTCAATATAACGGCGAGTAGACAGACAAATGAAGTGAACATGAGTGCAGGGATAATTTGTAAATTTAACAAAATTGAACAACCTTAATACAAACGTGTACAAATGTAAACATTGTAGCCTGTTTTCAATTTGCGGAGTTAATATGACATTAATGATAACAACTTTGGCATCCATATGTGCACTTTTGTCTCTTATCAAGTTCACTCACATTTAATTAGCCTATAACCTCTATTAGCCTAACCTATAGTCTGTAACCTATAGCCTGTAACCTCAGGTGCAATAAGAGATAATAAGTGCAATAAGAAAACTTATTTACATTTTCATTTCATTGTACAGTGTTCCCCTTGTTATTTTATTTTGTATTATATCTTTGCTTTAATACAGTGTATAACTTCTTTAGTTTATTTTAAATCACTTAGCTGTTACTACAACTTTTTTACTTTTACATTTTTTATACTTTTCTACTCTTTTTTTTCTTCTTACAATGCTAATCTATCTTATATATAATTTTAACTTTTTTTTTGCAGAAGCTGACTCGGAGAAACGCACAAGAATTCCAACGTACCTGTACTGTCCTGTACCTGTGCAAATGGCACTAAACATCTATTCTATTCTATTCTATTCTATAAGCCTCCATGAAAATCCAGAGTAATAATAAATGTAAATAGAAATACACTAACTCAATTAAACCACTTTACGTGGTAGGCCTAATCAAAATGATAATAACACAGCAATACTTAGCCTATTACTGTTTGTAAAAGAAGATAAGATAAGATAAAACTTATTTGATCCCCCATTATGGGGACATTTTTTTGTTACAACAAAATGTTGATTCAAAAAACAGGAATAATAATAATAATTTATTTGCAGATACTGGTCTCAATCCGGCCTAACATATTTCAATAAAGTAATAGTTTTTAATCCAGTATTTACTCAACCAAGGCTATCAATTGATATTTTGGTTTCTAACTGAGATATTCTAAGTGTCTTCAATATCCTTGCACATAAATAATTATCCTAATTGGGTTAATCCAACTTGGGAAATAAAAAGACAAAAAGGAAAAAGCAGCATATTTTAAATTATGAATAATTTCTACATGAATAATTGTATTTTTTTACTGGATTAGCTGTTATGTTTTTTGGTATATGATGTTTGACACTCCCTCCAGCATTCATCTTGTAGTGCCATAGTTCTACTTTCAATTTTAGGGAGAAAAAAAAACTATGGCTTGATTAAGACTGACCTACACAAAAGACAAAAAATGTATAGGGTCCGTAGGTGAAATGTAGAATGATATAGTTGGTGCCCAACACCATGCAGGACGCAATCAGCAATCATTCTTTGTCTGTCTAGTTCATGAATTTTCTAGAATTATTATTATTATTCCGTCTGTTTTCAAGATATAGGGCAAAATTAGTAGAAAAGCCACAAAATGAGTGTGAACAGTTTCAGGAATTTGCTACAAATGATTAATTAACTATATTGGTGTTACCCATTGAAACAATATAGTAGAATAACATATTTTAATCAGGGTAGAGCAGCAGTGTGCAGCGTTGCATCAGTGCTCTTTAAGGACACATCGAGTTTGCTGACTTTTCTACTTTCTGTAACTCTTTATGCGGTTATTCACCAGAAGTGTTTTTGTTGTTTGAATGTGCTCCTTTTTCTACAGTTTGAACCCCTTAAAACAACCCATTAATGAACACATGATTGAATGAAGAAATAATAAAAGAGAAAGAAAAAAAAAGAAAGTAGATCAGTGATACTATTAAACAATACAAATTCACAAATTCCTGAAACAAGCTGATTTGTTTTTGATCCTCACCCCAGTGGCAGATTGATTCCTGCTATAAAAGTGTTTTTCACTCTGTTTCTTGTATTTTTTTACACCATACATTGGTTTTACAACAGAGTAGACTGTGTGTTTGTTGGAAAACCATAGAGCGTCATGATTAAAACAAACACAATTATATATAATATAATATAAAATATATAATTCTCATAGTAGAATAGAGTGTGATTTTTTTGTCTGTGCTCCTCGACCTGCAGATGTGTATATTGTACAAAATAATTAAGTGCATTTGTAATTTAAGCTGTTGTGAGCCTGTTATAAAGTCAAGGTTTAAGGTACTGCAGGTTTCTTGCATTTTAAGTGGGGATGTTGAGCCTTAATTGAACTTGTGTACATTATAAGATGAAACGTCCAGACAATCTAACTCATCTGATGTAACAGCCTTCACTTTAAGGTCACTGACTAGTCACATGCATCACATGCAGCGGCAATAAAGCGGCCCAGTATCGGTGACATTGCCAAGACGCGGGAGTGCCAGCGTGTCGCGGGGCTTTCCAACGAGCAGCCGCTCAGCCAATCGCGGGCCTCTCCGATTGGGGAAGAAGTGACGGCTTATATATGGAAGAGAGCGCGGTTCATTCAACATCACTTCACAGACAGGGAAAAAAAACACTAAGAGACAGAAGAAGACGGACACGCTTTGGCGTTGAGAGGCTGGTCCTATCCGAGACGACGTGAAGGCCGTTAATTAATTGACGACATTGTTATTCAGGTACGTGGAAACATTTCTTTGAATACGATAATGTGACGACGTTGTATTTTTTCACGTTGTGAAACAATTTTCATTCTGACCAAGCAAGCTGAGGTAATAATAATAATAATAATAACAATAATAATAACTTTATTTATATAGCACCTTTTAAAAACACAGGTTTACAAAGTGCTTTGACAAACAGCAAGAACAAAGCAAACTAAACCAAACACAGAAAAACATTAACAACAGTAAGAATATAACAGATGCAAAATACCAAAAATAATTAAATACAATTCAACAGAAAAGAACCCAAAGTGCACGATACACACCCAGACATATATAATCCAACCATCATAAGAACCATCATAAGAACCATCATAAGAACCCAGGAACACAAGAACCCAACAACACGAGCTGAGACCAAGAGGACCAAAGATTTAAAAAGATGTAAGAAACTAAGAGATAAAAGCAAATAAAAAGCAATGAGAAGGTAAACGTAGTAAAAGAAATAAAAACAAGTGGTTAAAGGATCAAAAAACCCAAAACTATAATATTAATAAAAATAAAAATTAACTATAAATACAAAACATAAATAGACAAAGTAAGTAAGATCAGAAATTACCAAGTTAAAACACAAGAGGAGTTAAGATATGAGCATAAATACGAGATAAGACCATAAATAAAAGACAGTAAGAAGTAGAAGAAGATAAAAATAGTAAAACCAGTAAGAGAAGACATTAAGAAGACGACATCACATAAAAGCAAGTCTGTAAAAGTATGTTTTAAGAAGGGATTTAAAAAAATTGAGGGAATCTGCAAGTCTTATCTCCTCAGGGAGGTCGTTCCAAAGTCCAGGGGCCCTGACTGAAAAGGCCCGGTCACCTTTAGTTTTAAGTCTGGACTTTGGAACGACCAGGAGGCCCCCACCCGAGGATCTAAGACTGCGGGCTGGTGTCAGTAACTCTGTTATATAGCTTGGAGCCAGCCCCGTCCGTGCTTTAAAAGTAATGAGTAAAATCTTAAAATCGATTCTAAAACGTACAGGAAGCCAATGTAATGAAGCTAAAATTGGAGTGATGTGATGTCGTCTGTTACAACCAGTAAGAAGCCTAGCTGCTGCATTTTGGACCAGCTGGAGGCGAGACAGTGACTTATTTGTGATTCCGGAAAAGAGGGAGTTACAGTAGTCAAGTCGGGAGAAGATGAGGGCGTGGATGATCTTTTCAAGGTCTCGTTGGGTTAGGATTGTTTTAATTTTGGAGATGGTGCGTAGATGGAAGAAGCTTGATCGGACAACTGTTTTGATATGGGATTCAAAGGTGAGATTGCAATCGAATGTTATTCCTAGATTTCTGGCGGTGGGTTGGACATTGGTGAATAAGGGACCGAGGCTGCTCTTTGAGATATGAGTGGTGTTTGGCGGGTTGAATACTATGATTTCAGATTTAGAATTGTTCAGTTGGAGAAAGTTTTGCGCCATCCAGCAGTTGATATCGTTTAGGCAGTTTCTGACAGCAGCTAGGCTCCTAGGGTCCTCAGGTCTCAAAGGAAGGTATATCTGTGTGTCGTCTGCGTAGCAGTGAAAGGAGACATTGTGGCGTTCAATTATTTGGCCAAGAGGCAGCATATAAATGGAGAATAACGATAGTGACGATAGTGATATATAGTAGTGACGATAGTGATATATTTTACCAAACTTACTTCTTTTTTTTTAATGCATATAGTTAAACAATGTGATAATAATGACAAAGTAGCTGGCCCTTGTGATTAGATATGTTGCCTTGCATGTCTGCTAAGCACGCCAACGTGGTTAAGCTAGGTACCGGCGGATGGGGAGGGGGGAAGGGGGGGGGAGTAGCCAGGGGTGTTAACAGTGAAAAAGAGGCGGTGTTGCTCCACCCAGTTGACCCCATGTTCTTTTTAAGACTTTGAAAACCACGCTTCTCTCACACAATGACTCCAAATCCCAGAAAATGACACTCCATCATTGTTTGACACTAGCTTTGTGAAATGGTAGACAGCTAAGGTAAAGCCACATTGTTCTAATGATTTGTTTCTTTCTGTAGATTTTTTTTTTCACATACTGGAGTATAAACAAGCCAAGATGAAGCTGCTGTGGGTTGTAATGTTGGTGGCCGGCACCGTGTTCGCCGACGACGACGACAAGAAGGACAGCGTGGGGACTGTGGTTGGAATCGACCTCGGGACCACCTACTCATGGTAAATAGAGACAAAGTGACAGCTGTCTTGATTGTTTTACACGCAACTTTTAAATGTGGATAACACTAATCATTTCTTAATTGTTTTTTTTTTTTTTCCTTTTTAGTGTCGGAGTGTTCAAGAATGGGCGTGTGGAGATCATCGCCAATGACCAGGGTAGCCGCATCACTCCATCGTACGTGGCCTTCACCAGCGAGGGTGAGCGTCTGATTGGCGACGCTGCCAAGAACCAGCTGACGTCTAACCCTGAGAACACCGTCTTCGATGCCAAGAGGTTGATTGGGCGCACTTGGGGAGACTCGACTGTGCAGCAGGACATCAAGTACCTGCCGTTCAAAGTAAGTTTCTGCATTTCTTGACGTTACTGTTAAGAGTCTTAAGGTCCTTTTTTGGTATCGTTTGAGCTTCATTCTCTGTTTGTAACATTGATTCATGTTCCTTTTTAGGTAACTGAGAAGAAGAGCAAGCCCCATATTCAGGTAGACATTGGTGGTGGCACGATGAAGACATTTGCTCCTGAGGAGATCTCTGCCATGGTGCTGACTAAAATGAAGGAGACTGCTGAGGCTTATTTGGGCAAGAAGGTACAAACACATGAAAAAAATACATTTAAAATATGTACCTCATCAAAATGATGTTCAATCAAAGCTAATGAGTTTATCCTTTTTGTCAGGTTACACATGCTGTGGTCACTGTCCCTGCCTATTTCAATGACGCCCAGCGTCAGGCCACTAAGGATGCTGCAACCATCGCTGGTCTGAATGTCATGAGAATCATCAATGAGCCGTAAGTTTTGAATGAAAATGATGTTTGTTGTTGTGTTTGCAAAATATTTCCCTTCATTTTTGTATTAACGTATCTTCCTTTTTTTTTTTTTTTAGAACTGCTGCCGCCATTGCTTACGGTCTTGACAAGAGAGACGGCGAGAAGAACATTCTCGTTTTCGATCTTGGCGGTGGCACCTTCGACGTCTCCCTGCTGACCATCGACAACGGTGTGTTTGAGGTGGTGCAACCAGTGGTGACACTCATCTTGGAGGTGAGGACTTCGACCAGCGCGTCATGGAGCACTTCATCAAGCTGTACAAGAAGAAGACCGGCAAAGATGTGCGCAAAGACAACAGGGCAGTGCAGAAGCTGCGTCGTGAGGTCGAGAAGGCAAAGAGGGCGCTGTCCGCTCAGCACCAGGCCCACATTGAGATCGAGTCCTTCTTTGAGGGAGAGGACTTCTCTGAGACCCTGACCCGTGTCAAGTTTGAAGAGCTTAACATGGTAAATAATTGAACCAACATTTTGGTTATAGAAAAACTGTAACTCTAGTATAATGTTACCCTCTTGTTTATGAAACATGATTTACTAACAGTTGAACCTTTTTTCTTTTTCCAGGACCTGTTCCGTTCCACCATGAAGCCTGTGCAGAAAGTACTGGAAGACTCTGACCTGAAGAAGCCTGACATTGATGAGATTGTCTTGGTTGGAGGCTCCACCCGTATCCCCAAAATCCAGCAGCTGGTGAAGGAGTTCTTCAATGGCAAAGAGCCCTCCAGAGGCATCAACCCTGATGAGGCCGTGGCATTCGGAGCTGCTGTGCAGGCTGGAGTGCTTTCTGGAGAGGAGGACTCTGGTAGGTTATCATCGTCTCACATCATTTAATTTAATTCTAATTCGCTGAACTAGCTTTTATATTGTGTACTAATAATGTTCCTATCTTACAGGAGATTTTCTTCTTCTGGACGTGTGCCCCCTGACTCTTGGTATTGAGACTGTTGGAGGAGTGATGACTAAACTGATCCCCAGGAACACTGGGGTGCCTACAAAGAAATCCCAGATCTTCTCTACAGCTTCTGATAACCAGCCCACTGTCACCATTAAGGTTTATGAAGGTAAGAATTGTGCATACCCAACATGAAGAAAAAAAAGTTTAAAAATAGCTGTTGGGTTTTTTTGGTATGCAGAAAAAAAAAATGGAATTTTGCAAAAGTTTATTCATTGATTCTGTCTCTAGGTGAGCGTCCTCTCACAAAAGACAACCATCTGCTGGGCACATTCGACCTGACTGGCATCCCTCCCGCCCCTCGTGGTGTGCCACAGATTGAGGTCACCTTCGAGATCGATGTCAACGGTATCCTGCGTGTCACAGCCGAGGACAAAGGTACAGGCAACAAGAACAAGATCACCATCACAAACGACCAGAACCGCCTGACGCCAGAGGACATCGAGCGCATGGTGAACGATGCAGAGCGCTTCGCCGATGACGACAAGAAGCTGAAGGAGAGGATCGACGCCCGCAATGAGCTGGAGAGCTACGCTTACTCTCTGAAGAACCAGATCGGAGACAAGGAAAAGCTCGGCGGAAAGCTGTCGGATGAGGACAAAGAAATCATTGAGAAGGCAGTAGAGGAGAAGATTGAGTGGATGGAGTCACACCAGGAGGCTGAGCTGGAAGACTTCCAGGCTAAGAAGAAGGAGCTTGAGGAAGTGGTACAACCAATTATCAGCAAGCTTTACGGCAGTGCAGGAGGACCACCACCAGAGGGCGCAGAAGCCGAGCAAGACGAGAAGGATGAGTTGTAGGCAAGTTTGCCATCAACTGTTTTGTCGCCCCTTGCCTCTCTGTTAGTGGCACTTAGATGTACATAATGAACTGATGAGACTCAAATCGTGAGAGGAACG